AAAGATGCTTCTTCTTTTAAGGAAGTTCCATAGGTAGCATATATAGGGTGGGGCAAAAGTAGGTTTACAATTGTTTTTATGGAAAATAGCACAATAATTAATAAATAATAATCCAAGAATAAATTCTCTGTTTCACATACTCACAACTGTAAACCTACCTTTGCCCCACCCTGTGTAATGTCTTTAAACCTTTGCTTAACATTATAGGTGGGCTTTCATAAATTCCTGATTTACTGATTATCCATTGTATAGCTATGTTATCTCTCTAAAATTCTCAGATGTGTTACAAACCATTTGTCAAACTCAGATATCATCTCTTATATATCTAACATACCAGGAAGTGATTTTTTGAAAGAATGAGCCAAAGCATCTGTATAGCTTACAGATGTTTTTTAGTTTAGTATCGTAGTTATTTTCATTTTCAAAAGTTCGCTTCAATCTCCATGTCTGTTTTCATAGATTCATTGCTCACTGTGACATAAACATAAATCACATATTAAGCTAATTAACAGACCTTGAAAGAGAGTCAGTTTAATTTTACCAATTTTTTTTTTCTATACCCTCATTTTGTTCAACTGCAAGACTTGCTGGGCTTTAGAAGTGGTAAGTCCATGATTCATTCAGTCCCATTCGTCTACTGGCCAACTTTGTGGAGGGCACTGGAAAACTAAAGGCAGAAGTGATGCACCTAATTTCACTGTGTATCTCTTTATACTATTGGGATTTTAACTTTGCAAATACAATGTTTTTAAAGGAAAAGGAAGATGTAGAAGGGAAATGATAAAAAAAATACGAAAAATAAAAAACATAAAATAATATGGAAGAAATAAGACAAAAATCAATAATTATATTAAATATAACTGGATTCTTTTCTGCCTTTAAGAGAAAGGTATTCTGATTTAGTTTTTTTTTTTTTTAATCTAACATTGCTGTTTCCTAGATACACACCTAAAACAAAATGACAACAAAAAAGTGACAAATATCCAGATGGAATAGTGTACCAGGGAAATCCTAAACCCCCATAAAAAGATTTGTGACAATTATAATAATAATGGAAAATAAAATATAATACAAAGCAATAGCATTAAATAGGAAAGGGAGATATTATTATATGCTGGTAAAAAGTACAGTCCACCAAAGAGATTGCCATGAACCTTTATACATTCTTTAAAAGCTTCAAAACACACAAAGTAAGGACTGTTTACTTTCAAGGAATAATTGGGAAGTATATAATCTTAACAGGAGATTTTTAACATGCTAGTAAGAAATTAGTAAATGTATAGAGTATTTAAATAAAAAGTTAATAAGTGTAATCTATATATATTGGGATTGTATACTTTCTTCAAACAATATAACACATTTGCAGAATGTTATAAATATACATATACATTCTAATATTCTAAGAGAAAATAAATTGCATATATTTAAAATGAATGAAAATGGTTGAATGCATATAAAAGCATGTGAGACACATAATCTTAAATGCATGTGTTAGAGAACAAGAAATAAAAAAACAAAAAAATAAAATGAATATATAATTTTAAAATTTTTTTAAAGATTTTATTTATTTATTTTTAGGGAAGGAAAGAGAGGGAGAAAGAGAGGGAAAGAAACATCAATATGTGGTTGCATTTCATGTGCCCCCTGCTGGGGACCTGGCTTGCAACCTAGGCATGTGCCCTACACTGGGAATCGAACCAGTGACCCTTTGATTCGCAGGCCAGCGCTCAATCCACTGAGCCACACCAGCTAGGGCTGAATATATATTTTTTAAAAAATAAAGATAAGTTCACTAACAAGTCAACTCAAAGATCTAAGAAAAGAATGGCTAAGGAAGCAAATTAGAAGAAATGAATGGATAATAATAAAAACAGAATAATATTTAAATTGTAAATACAATATTGAGCAATAAAATGAAAACCTGATTCTTTGAAATGACCATGGTTTTAATCAAATGAAAAATAAAAAGGAATGGCCCTGGCCAGTGTGGCTCAGTTGGCTGAAGCTTCATCCCATAACCAAAAGGTTACAGGTTCAATTCTCACTTAGGGCACATGCCTAGGGTGTGGGCTTCATCCCCTGTCTGGGTGGTCATGATCCCGGGTCTGGACTGTCAGATGGTAACTGATCGATGTTTCTCTCTCACATTGATGTTTCACTCTCTGCCTTCCTCTCTCCCTTCCTTTCATTCCAAAAGCAATAGAAAAATTTACTCAGATGAGGATAAAAATTAAAAAATAAAGAGAAGTAAACAAAAATTGCCATATAATTCTATATAGAGAGGAGATTATTTAAATAATAAGAGAATTCTAAGTACAACTGTATATCAATAAATTTGAAAATCTACATAAAATGTTTGCTCCTCTAGGAAAATATATGAAATTGAGTCAAGGAGAGGCAGAAAATCTAAATTGATCAATAACTTGAAAAATTTCTAAGAAAGATCAGCTATTTCTAAAAATACTTCAATGCTAGATAGTTTATAACCATCCTGCTAAATCTGCCAAAAAGTCAAATTCTTTGTTATGTAAATTATTCTGGAACACAACTGAATGAAGCCTCCCAATTCCCAGTGAAAATTACTGTAACTCTAGTACCAAAAGCAGTCAAGTTTGTGACATGCACCAACCTCACTTACAAACATAGCTGCCAAGATCATAGATAAAATACCAGCAAATAAAAACCATGCTGTTAAAGAATAACAAATCAAAACCAAGGAATTTTATATCAGACTTTAAAACTACTATTTTGATTTACTTTCCCACCTGATTCTCTGCATCTCTGCCAACACTGGGGAGTGGTAGGAGAAAACTCTGGTTTTCTTGTTTGATTTTTTTTCCCTGAAATAGACACTTACATTTGTATTGAGTAGGTGAAATTTTTAAATTTCAAATTTAAAAGTTTTAGAGTAGGGATGAACATGTAATGTCCCAGGTCAATTCAAAGCAAACTTATGAGATAAATTTTATCTTTGGATCCTCCAGCCTATGTTCAGTGCTTCCTTTCCCTCTTTCTAGAGTCCTTGAGTTCTTCATCTAAGCATACAAGGACGGGGGTATGGACATGTGGGCGGCCATTTCCTCCTCTTAGTTATCCAAAAAAAAACTGCAAAGTCTTGGCATACAATTCCATTTCAGACCCTTTGGCAAACAAGAGCACACATACCCAGGTCTCCACTTGCCCACCCTAAAATCCTTTAAAAAGCTAACATTATACACTTTCTTTTCCCCCTCCTCAAGTCAATTTCCAGGAAAGCCTGATAATCTCATATTGTCAGGCAAATTTGATTTATGTACTTGCTGCCTCAGGAGAATTTGCATCAGAAATGTAGCCTCTAATGAGGCTGTGAAAACTTACCCATCTGCAGAACAAGTAGGTCCTATATTTGAGGAATTCTGTTTGATGTCTAATTTCTGAATCTTCTAAAATGGTGAGCTCAGATGTTATCCGATGCTTCAGCCTGCTATACAATAATGCCTTTCAGACTATACCCAGCCGTGAATTAAGGGTTTAAGAGTTAGCCAAAATTCCACTTCTGCCCACTGGTTCTTAATCCAATTAACCTAAATTTTCTTCCCATGAGTACAGAGCAGATACAAGCTGCCTCTCATCTCCCAAGTGGATTCTGTGAGGGCATCAAGTGCTATTTAGAGCAATGTCTCAATGGCACTTTGGCCAAATGTATGGTTGTACAGAAGCAGGTTTCTGTGGGAATCTAATAGAGATGAGGCACAACTTCACCCAATGGCCCTTACCAGAGGCCACAACTGTGACCCATGAGCCAAACACAGCACACAAATGAATTTTATCTGGCTTTCTATATTTTTTACATTTTTGAGTTCAAATGCCTGTGAAGGCATCTTATCTTGCAATCTCTGCCTTATACACATCCCAGAACATAAACTGACACAAAAGAATTAGGCAACTCACAAGAGCACATATGTTCTTGTTCATTCTCCTCACTTCTTCCCAATGCTTAAGGTACAAGACTAAAAGGTAAGACCTATAGAGTTCCAATCACAGCTGTTCTAACTAGCTGTTGACCTTGAGCACTAGCTCTTTTTCTGTGAGTAGTAGACTAGAAAATTTCTAAGGCAACTGATAGTTTAACAGTCTGTGGTTCTGTATCCACTCTCTCCATCATAGTAGCAAAATTTAGAATTATATATTAGCAAATTCTATCATGTTTACTTTCTATGTAGTTGGAAATAGGCAAGCACTATTATTTTCCCATTTATAAACAGGGAAACTCAAAGCCTAAAGCCGTTGAATACAATAGTAATTCAATGTAGAAATTTTTAAAAATCTTTTGGCTTCTTTAAGTAGCTTCCCTCTGAGTTAGAAAAAAATCTTTATTGTACCTAAGCACTATTTGGGGACTTCATATTAATCCAACATGTATTAATTCTTCCCCAGAGAATACTTTTCTCCCCTGGATGTACTGATAAATTATTCTCAAGAGGTCTCAAGGTTATTGAGAGGCCTGGAGGATCTAAAAGAATCACAGCATTGAAAACCTTGAGTAGCTATTGCTGAGGAGTAAGTGTAGCAATGGCTAAATTACACACATGCATACATACACACACATACACATAATGGAGCCATTTGCTGAAGGGCATACTGTTAACTAGCTATTTTTAAACACTTAATTACTTATCTCATAGTTTACATTATGGTGTATCCATTTCTGTAAGTCTAGCAAGTTCTCATTTTAAAACTTAAATGTTAGAAGAGGACATTTTCCTTTGTTTCTGGCTTCCCCTCATTGTAACCATAATCAATGCAATTATCCAAGACGGTTTCTGTCAGGAGGCTACTGAGGCATTTCCCTGTTAATGAACTGCAGAGCCCTCTAATTGAATTCTTGCTATCTGTGCTTCTGTTGTGGTTAAGAATCTACCTTACAGATATTAAAATAGTCTGTGTTCAGATATGGCCTCATTGATTTAATTTCTTTTGGGGGGAAAATGCATTGCTAATGGTCATGTCTCATATTGCAGATTACGGTATTTCGGATGGGATCAGAAGGACACCAGGACATTGATTTAGCTATCCTGACAGCTTTGCTCAAAGGTAAGAGAGTTTGTATATCCAGAGAGTGCAAAAATAACTTAAATGGGTTAATGCAGCAACCTTATGTCTCCTAATAGTGGACATAATTCAAAATGACACCATTACACATCCAATTGTAGACAACATAAGGACCTCTCCCGAAAGACACGTTCCTGCTATTCAATCCTTCTACAATGGAGCTGTTACAGAATGACTCAATTTCATAAAATTTAAATATACTACAATTCAGTCCTGTCCACTGAATGATAAAAATATGTAAAGTAAAAGACTAATGTGATATGTGACACACTGAGTTACTGAAGTTATTTAATAATTATTGCCCTATCTACTTTCAAAAATCACTTAATATAGCATGAAAAATAGTACAGAGATATCATAATTTATTAAAATGGAAAATCAAAACCATTTAGAGCAATAGAGAAAGAAACCAAAAACATTGGCTACTGTACTTGTTATAATTGAGCATTAAATTTAACTCTAAGTTTCCTCAAAGTCGAGGTAAAAATAGAAATGCCGGGAGTGACTGATTTTCCTTTATAAGGAGACTGCTGGCGCTTTTGTCCTGTTTTCTAGTCCCAGTGTTATAAAGAGGCTTCACTACATGCCCTCATCCTTACAGCCATATCCAAGAGAAGATAAATTTTCTTCAACCTCTGCAGATCAAACCCTGCTTTAATGTCCTTTAATAGGTATTTTACTCTGGATAATAATGTTTGGTATTAAAATAAACAAAAAAAAAGTTGCCTCTGTTTAACACTGAAGTGAAAACAGGAACTATAAGATGAAGCAAAACCACAAAACTTTTGAATGTGGTCCTGGATAGAGATGACTTCCTCATTCTTCCTGAGCCCATACTTTGCCTGCTGCAGCATTTGTCACCTGGTTGACCATTGCCTGTTGTAACCCTCCTTAGGTTACAAGCTCTGTGAGGGCGGAGAATGTGTCTTGTCCGTCACTGCTTCTTCAGCACCTCACATAATCCATACCACATGGCATGTGTTCAGCCAATTTTTGTTCAATAAATGAAAGAACGAATGGATGCCTTCCTAATTCAGTGATAAATTCCAAAATTAAAACTCAGACTAGCAACCACTGTATTCTATTTTCCCATCTACCGACTCTTCTTCCACTGTTAATATTTCCTTGAGTACCTATCGTGTGGCAGTACCTATGCTAAGTGCTAAGCTTTTTACAAATGCTATAAATATTAATTGTTGCAACAACTGTGTCATGAAGAAGCTGTTTTTAATTGCCATTTACAGATGGGGTCAGTGGAGCTACAAGGGATTAAGTAACTTGCTCAAGGTTATCATTACTAATTAGTAAGCCTGGACTTAAAAGTATGTCTAACTCTTCATTATACTACATGTCCCCTTTGACCTTAGAAGCTGATCTACTCCATCTACTCCCCAAATAAGACATGCACATTTATTCAAGATTCTGATCACATTGCACGAAGGTCACAATCCTAGGAAGTGTATCATGTGTCCCAGGTTGAGAACCTGTGTTCTAAGACATTTGGTTCCAATGGACTAAGAAATACAAACACGCAGAGAAATTAAGAGACCTGCATGGGCTGAGCCACAACATACATCCTGGGTCCCCTCCTCCATTTATCAGACAAAATTAAAATTTGAGGCATGTAACTCTGATATTTGCTATTCTTACATAAAAATAAGAAAACATAAAGCTGGTAATCCTTATTGAGGACTTATTAAGTGCCCAACACTGTTAGATGCATTCTTTGTATAAATTCACTTAATCAACACAACTGTGTGATGACCAGCTTATTACAAGGCCCATTTTATAGACAAGGAAATTGAACAATTTAGTAACATGCCCAAGATAAGCTGGACAGTCTGACCCCATAGACCTCACATATACCACCAAGGCATTCTCATTGGTAATAATAAGTGGAACACCATATTTATCACCTTGAATCAAACTCACAGCAAAAGGAGAAGTAACCTCATTATTAGTTAAAACATATTAACCATCATATTATCTTCTATTGAAAGTATTTTTGTCCTCTGTCACTAATTTGTGACTTAAAGTTGTGCTTCCACTTTCATCAGTCTTAGAATGTATTTGTAATATAAATAGAATATAGTTGTTTTCTGACTGTTCATGACAGATCATATGAAATACATTTTATACTATAACCAATTAGTTATACATACGTATTTAGAAAACTGAAATTAAGGTACATGAAATAATGTTTACATTGACTATAGGTAATAAAATCAGTATTTTCTATTCTCTAAATTATATCCCACTAAATTGATTTCATGACCCACTAATGGGTCATAACCTGAAATTTACAAAACACTGCCACAGAAGATTAAAGGAAATTATGATTGCTCTAAGAAATTAACATTTTAATTATTATAATGAACTGTATTTATGCAGCAGTTGATGCTAATGGGAATTTATGCCATCAAAAAATTATGATATGTCAAATCTATTTTGTGAAGGCTTTTAAATGCTCTCTGATTTTTACCCAGTAGATTTGTGAAGCATTTCAAAGTAGATTTGCTGATTCTACCTTAGAGGCCAAGAGCATACTTATATCAGTTTCAAATTCTTTAGTTTGTTAAATTATTCTTCCTATGTATTTTTAATTATGCCTGAGCATGTAATACTGTTTACACTTAATTTTTCTATAACCATACTTAGTTTTCAATTATCTAATACATGAGAAACCTTTGTACTGTACAGTTTTTATTCTCTCCATCATCTGAGAAAATTAGAAGTTAGATAAGAGGGGTAGGAGAGAGTTATGAAACTAACCACTGGTTGGTCCAAAAGTCCAGAGCCTGTGAGGCATAGAAGACAGATAGGAAACCAGGTGGCTGTGGGGAAAATACACCTTTGCTGTCTCCTGTTTCTGACCCCACTGGGTTTTATTTTTCTCTGGATCTGTTCATATTAAAAGATACTGTTTATATGATACAGACTTACTGGGTATCTGTTCAAAAATGAAGAGAGAAAGAAGACAGTGAATGCTGTTACAGAGATCTAAGAGGCCCGTAGTTTCTTCAAAGGCTGGCCTGAGTAGCTTTTGAGAACAGGTGATGTCACATTTGTCCTTCACATTAAGGACCACTCTCCAAGGTGACGGTCTGAGCCTCGGGACGACACCCTTCCCCACCTCCTCCGTTCTCCCCCCACCACCGCCACACACCGGGGCGGCCCAAGCAACTGGCACAGAGTGCAGTTGCCAGAGAAAATATGGGGCGTTGAATGTTCAGATAAACAACAAATTTTTAGCATAAGTGTGTCCCAAATATTACATGGGACACACTTATACTAAAAATATTGTTCATTATTTATCTGAAATTCAAACTTAACTGGGAGTCCTGTATTCTTCTTTGCTAATTAGGCTAACCTACTCAGTGGAGGTCTGACACCTTGAGAGGTTCTATGGGAAAAGTACTCAAGAATCTAGGGAGACCTAGTTCTACTGCCTGCCTCCATCCCTCAGCCAGGCTCTGCCTAAATCATAGCACTACATAAGACTTCCACTGGAGAAAACCCCAGGCTTATCTTAAACTATCAGGCATTTACCAGCGTGCTCTCTCAGGCACCTCATACTATCTGTGTCTCTCATATAGCAACATAAACTTCTTGCTCCAGGCTCAATAAAGCCAGATAACATCTGCTCATAGCAGAAGTTATTGCAATGGTATTTGATGCTTTCTATGGATAAAATTACTCCCAATTTTCTTTTCATTTATTCTCATGCACCCTGGAAGTCGAATCACATGGGTATACACTCTTCATACCTATCTATATACATGCAATAAAGTGTAATATGTGATGATCACTGTCCTCCCTAAATGAGAAATTTTTTTCTTTGGGTTTAATCTTCATTCGTAAATAAATTACCTACAGCACAGGGAGAGAGTAAACTTTACTGCTAACTTTTTTTCTGCAAAGCAATTTAAAAGAGCTAAATAAAAGTACAAACAATACATTCCCACACAAAACTGTCCAGGCCATCAAAAACAAGGAAAAGTCTGAGAAATAGTTACAGCCTAAGGACAGATGAAGACTAAATGTAATGTGGCTTCTTGAGTGGGATCCTTAAACAGAAAAAAAAAAGTATTAAGTTAAAAATTAAGAAAACCTGATAGAAAAGGAAAAAACATCTTATGGAATTAACTGTAAAAGTCAAGTACATATACAGTCAGAGTACCATAACAGGTACAGGCAATAGTTAACATAAAATATCTATATAAATCACATAAACATGGATAATAGCTGAGCACTATTGATATAATAAATGATTAAAAATACCATTAGAGAACCTAAGCAAGAGAAATATGAATATAAAGTTAACAGAAAATAATTTGTAGGAAGTCCAATTCCCCTATGGAGTTAAAGTAATTTCAGAGAAAATTACCTAGTTTCTACTATTTCACTTCACATGTTTTATTCTTCAGACATAATTAATGCTAATCAATAATTAATAAACTAATTACTTATAGATTCTTAAGTAGGGGATGACAACTTCTTTTTAAGATATACATTTGTAAGTTTATTCAAACCATAAAGAAAAAAAGTGTAAAATAAAATTCAAATGCCAACCTGAAACTAATACAAAATACAGTTTATTGAATATAAACTGTAATTGAAAAATAAAATTTCAAATGCCAAAAGAATAACCAATATGTTCTAACTTTAGAAAAATGTCAAGAATGCCACTGATTAGACTATAATATGCAAAACAATGAAATCACTAGGTTCTAAATCATTTTTCTTTAAAATTATATCTTTTAAAAAAACTAAACTTGAAATAAAAGTAGATAAAATCTTTTTTTAAAAAAATATATTTTAGTAATTTGAAACTGCTTCTGAATGCATGCCCCTGTGACTCTATTAACTAAAAAATGCAGTAATTATCACAAACTAGTACTGACATCAATAGGCAATTAGTCTTGCTAAATAACTCCTCTTATTTTTTAAATGGCTCAATTAATCCCTAGCAAAACAAAATT